CTATAGAAGGACAGCAGGAAGGGAATTTTGATTGAGAGAGAGGAGGCAACTGGTCGGTGGGACCGGGATCCAGAGTGGGCTCGACGGGGCGCATATGGGTACCGGCGGTGCCGGTGGGATCGCAAGCTTCAATAGCGCCTAGTGTACTCGATAGATTAAAATGGCAGGCCAATGTGACGCCGTACGATAGTAAATAGAGTATATGCAGCACATATCGAGACCAAATTGTAATCGGATGTGGTTACCGAAAGTCCCAGAACATATGGAGTACGTTCCAATTACGGCGAGAAAATCCCGACGACGTGAATTGAAAGTGTGAAATCAGGATGGAAGAGGTGGGTAATATAGTACTCGGGGCACACGGGAGTAGTTCTTCGAAGTCATGAGACACAGGAGCAGGGACAGGAACTTAGGAGGAGGAGAGCGGACGAGACATGCGGTGGGAGGCAAGCGGTATAGATTAAGTCATCCAAACAGAACTGGCTTTACGTGGACAGGATTAGAATGCGGGGGGAGGGTTGATGGGCGTCACGGCGAGAGGCAGAAGCAGCAGAGATTCTCCGGACGCAAAGTAGGCATGGCCGGATGGCCGGGACGCCGGGAAGGAGGTCCAGAGGTGTCCGGACGCCAGCCGGGAGTAGTAAGGGCGTCAGGACGCCATGCCGGAGTAGCAGGGGCCTCGGGACGCTAAGGGGGAAAGGGCATGGATTGTCAGGACGCCCGGAATCGAGCTAGCAAGGGTCACAACGCAGGGGGGTTGGAGTGCCACGCGTCCGGTGAGCGTCAGGATGCAGGAGGGTGCGGATGCGAACGTCAGGACGCAAGAACGGATTCAGCCCACGTCCTGATTAACGGTTTGCGTCCTGTGGGTCCTGTCCGTCAGACGCACAGGACGCACAGGACGCAAGAGTAAATTTTGCTGATGAATTACACATGGAAATCATACGACACCATCACGACCCTCCATATGCCGGGTATGGAGGAACCGCCAAAACTACCAAATTCATCAACTGAAGATACTACTGGCCGAAGATAAGAGAAGGCATCAAACAATATGTTAAAAATTGCGACACATGCCAAAGAATCAAAGTGGTACGACACACACCTTACGGATTACTCAAGTCAAACGAGGCCCCAGAAAAACCATGGAAGTCTATATCATTAGACTTTATAACCGAGTTATCTAAGTCAAACGATCATGACGCCATACTAGTGGTAGTAGATCGCCTGACCAAAATGAGTTACTTCATACCATGCAAAACAGATATGATGGCATGGCAGTTTGCAACCATATTCCTAAAAGAAATATACCGCCTACATGGATTACCCAAAGACATTATTAGCGACAGGGGATCACTATTTACTTCAGAAGTGTGGAAGGAAACAACCAAAAAACTAGGAATCGAACGACGAATGAGCACAGCCTTCCACCCCCAGACGGATGGACAAACGGAAAGAATCAATGGCATATTAGAACAATATCTCCGCGCATACGTCAACTACCAACAAGATGATTGGTACGACTGGCTACCACTAGCCGAATTCGCCTACAACAATGGAAAACAAGAAACAATCAAGACGACTCTGTTCTTCACAAATTATGGCACACATCCAGAATACAAAACCATTGGTCATATGCTCCAAGGAAAGATAACGGATAAAAAGGATATGAGTCAACTACACGACACATTGCGAAACGAAATGGTTGCGGCACAATTACGACAGAAGGAAGACTATGATCGCCACCAAAAACCCAATCCAAACTTAAAATCAGGAGACAGGGTTTGGTTACTACCACGCAATATCCGAACCACACGACCGATGAAAAAACTCGATTACAAGAAAATAGGACCATTCAAGATATTGGCAAGAATAGGAAGTCGCGCTTATAAGCTCAACCTCCCACCGTCAATGAAAATACACAACACCTTCCACATCAGCCTACTTGAACTTTACCAAGACAACCCCCTACCTTCACAAGAAAAACCACCCGCCCCGCCTATTGAGATAGACGGTGAATTAGAATACGAACTAGAAGAAATCATCGACTCTCGATCACACTACGGTCGCTTGCAATACCGAGCGAAGTGGACTGGATACTCTCCAGAACACGATAAGACTTGGTACCCAGCCGAGAACTTCGATCACGCGCAAAATGCAGTCAAACAATTCCATCAAGGATACCCCAGCAAACCGTCAAGCAACAGTGGAAGATGCACACAACCCAAATGTGTGGCCCCACCACTACGCAGAACAGACACCCACTACTGGCATCAGCCTCAGATAAAAATGGAGATGATGCCGTTGAGGTCGTCACTCGAGATCGATCCAGAACGCGACGCGTTCAAACACATCACTCCGACCAGCCCGGGATACCGCACCCCGAGCTCAGAACAAACGACAAACGAGATAGAATACAACCCCGAGGACTGGATAAGTCTGAAGGAACTACCGATTCCCAAGACTCCCACTACCCAAAGGGAGCACGCGAACCTGTCATTGACAGGTTGCTATAACGACGAGTGCCAAGTGCACAAAAGCGAGAAGGAAGGCTCGGGATATTGGCCTCGGGGAGAGAATCGATGGCCCCCCAAGACTTCACCTTCGGGATCGCCAACAAGATCCCCGACACCAACGAAATCCCCCACACCAGATCCAGTGGATCTGGTACAATACATCGAACCGACTCTAAGGACGGAATCGAGGAGGAGGGGGGCGAAAAAACAAAAACAATGGACGAGACCCAGGAAATCGAAGCAGGTTTCCTGGCAAGAAGAGATGGAAGAAGAAACGGAACATGAGACCTCGAAGGATGTCAAAATGAAGTGGTTAGCCGAGAAAACCGAAACCAGCAGGTTGCTGGAATATCAGGCGGAAAAGATAGAGGAGCTCAAGAAGGAGCTGGAGAGGAAGAGGTGGAGCAACAACAATTTGACGAAGGAGTGGCAAGGAGAGAGAAATATGAGAAAGGCTCTCCAGAACGACTGGAGGAGAGAAGAGAAGGAAGCAAGGAAAACTCTGGCCAGGGTGGTCAGGGTGAACACGGGAGCGAATAGGTACTATCCGCTACCCGAAGGAAGAAGATGGGGGATAGAAGACTGAAGCCCGATGGGACTCGGGCTGAGGGAGAGAGGAGCTAATATCACAAACTGTGACTAAGCAAGGCAGATTTCACATAGCTCGGATTTCCGAGTTATAGGTATGTTGGGATTTCACATGACGCACACTAGTGCGCTATAGGTTATTATGTTTACCTGTTCGTGACTCACAGTTGTGAGTCACATGATGTTATGATTTTCGCACATAACTCATACTTATGAGTCATGGGTTTCACTCAGGTGACGCGAGTTGCGCACCTGATTCGGTTATTATGTTTTGATTGGTTTAGGCATGTTGCGCAGCGACTCATAGGAGTCGTCTGATGAATTTCATATGACTCACAGTTATGAGTCACAGGGTTCGCGTGACGTGAGGTATGAGTCACGCCAGGTGAAGAGCAACTATATAAAGGATCAATAGGACCCTGAGTATGAGCTCTTCACATGTTCTTCTTGTTTATTTCCTACCTTTAAGTTATTATCAATAAAACCTACCTTTATGCTCTTTAAGATTTATCTTAAGAAACCCGAGAAGTGTCTTTCCTCCCAGGAGAAGAGATTGAGTCCTAAGCGAGGACTAAGAAGAAGAATGATAAGATAGGCGCGAATACGATAGTAGTCAAAGGACTAGACTATCGGGATCGTGTAGGTCTAGGCCTGAGAGCTATCACCGTACAGAGAAGTATTGTTACCTGTCGCTAGGTCCTACTCGGTAGGATTCTTAACACCCATGTGAACATGTCACCCCATGTACCACTACAGTTATCCCTCAAGTCCTGTCTTCCAACACATTTGCTTTCCGCTATGGTAACATAAAGACTACTATTATCTGAAAATTATCCATATAACAGAGTGTAAAGATTTTCTACCACCCCCTCTATTGACTATGTAGGTCTGTCTGGGGCTTCCCAGGTCGGCTAGGAAGATTTCCCATGCCACAATGAAGTTCTAAATCCTATTGTCCAAGTAGGTGGAGATCCCAGAGTACCCCTCAAGTTGGCCCCATTAGTTTCTTGTGACAGACATTATCGAAGGCCGCCTTCACATCCCCTAAGAACCCCTACCCTTCTCTGTACTTGTACACGCGCGATGACAAAGATCCCAGAACGCACACTACAGTACAGCACTGAACAACTCCCTCGCGCTCACTCCCAACTCCCATTCACCCAACCACACTTACGCTACCTGTACATTTTGTTTTCCACCATTCAAGCACTATCGGTGGAAGTTCTAGCCTAGCGTGTATAGGGCGTGTGATTTATTAAGACTTAAACCAGACCGGGGGTATGTTACAGTGCACCTCCCGGAGCGGGAAGATTCTGGAGTGGGGTTATCGATGTGGGGATCGGGTGTAGCGCCCGTCGATGGATTGTGCTAATGTTCCGACAGGTGCAGTTGCTTTTTCTGGTTTATCGGGGTAGTAGGAGTCGAGGGTCTAGAATATGATGGAGGTTGAGATTCGCTTGCTCATGGGAAATCACTCGAATCCTGGGTCCTTGAGAGTGCCGGGAGGTGGGGTGGATTGTTGGTGGCTCCCGGGCGCTGATCGCCTAGCGTCGCCCCAAAGTTTTGGAAAGGCCCCGAGTCGAAGTGTTGGGGAGTGGAGATCGTTTGGTCTTTTCTGTGCGATTGTTGTTGAGATTTCTATCGTACGACCGGACACCGAGAAGTCCGAAGGGCATAGCCTACCCGGCAGATTGGGAGACTGTGGATCCGGAGTCTTAGATGGACTCAGCATACATGTAGAGTAGCTAGTGCGCTCTTGTTCCCCGGCTATCAGATCCACCTCCAAAATACAATAGAATCAGAGCATCCAATGAGAGAGGTGGGAATTGACAGTATTCTTGAATCCAGAGGCATTTCTCCTAATATGATACCTAAGCAGCGCCTAGGGGACAGTTTAAGATGCAAAGATATATTTTTGCGTTTAATCACAGGATTACCCGAGCACAAGAAATTTAGCATGAATAGTCATTTGCTACCAAAGCCTAGGGCTGACAAAATACAATATCGCCAAAAGGCAGTCTCTTTGTCTAGGAGATGTCTTAAAAGTCAGTTGAGACATTCGAGAATTCGCCCTTCTCCAACTTGGTCTTCCAAAACACAGGGTTGGTGTCCGTAAAGCCATGCTTTGTCCATCCCTCCTCCTTGACGTGGTAGAGGTTTATCGAGCCGCCAGAGTATGCATCCTGCCATCCCATCAGCCGCCGTCTTCCAAACATTTCAGGAGGGCACTTACTCTGTGAGTAGCTGCTAGGATACTCCTCGAGCCCAACGCTAACGCTTCTTCAGTGCTGAGGTTATAGTCGTATTCCCTATCCAGCACACCATAGGCGAATGTTTGGCCACTACCAACACAGAAGAGATTCCCGGCAAGACGAGTTCCATCCGAGTCAATGTAATAGAGCGCCGGGCCTTCGAGGGCGGTGACACCGGCAATCATAGTTCCCATGGATAGGCCCATTCCTTTGTAGGTGTAGACAAGATTGGATAAGATTTTAGAGGCAGCGGCGACGGAGATACGGCGCTTGTGACGGAGCTCGTGAAGTCTACATTCCACACCGAGATAACCAAGCCAGTATTGACAGTCTGCCGCTCCTCCGGCCATAGTTCCAAGCATTTTGTCACTGGTGGGGTTAGCACATAGGACGGTATTCTCATCCAGATAGCTAGCAGTAGGGAAGGACTGGACAATATTACTTAATCTCGATAACCTTCCTAACAGTCTGCGATGATATCCAGCTTCCCTGGGTCGCACGGGAATCTGTAGCTACGATGATCCCGCCCTGGAATCTGAAGGCAAGGGTAGTAGTTCCATGGGCGAGCTTAATAGGACAATCGGGATTGGAATAATCATCCGTCAGAGCACGCAGAAAACCTGTGGGCTGTCATCAGTTGATAAATGCTCCCAAGTTTTCCAATAGCAGTCCAGACACCGGAAATATATACCTGGGCGATGGGGGGCAGAGAGAAGTTATGTTTGAGCGATGGCTTCGTAATGGTAAGCTTCGGGACATCTTCGTCCTCACCGTAGAACACGTCGTCATGAGGGGAGGTGTATTTGGCAAGGATATCGTCCATGATGGAGGCTCAGGGGAAGGTGCAGAGGCTGATGAGGGGTATCGGAGGGGCGATGGAGGCTGACTAGAGGATGGGGATATCGATGGTTGGGGGGAGGCAATTGACAGTGGAGAGAGGTTAAAGGTGGAAGTTACCTATAACGTTCTTGGTATCATAGCATCTGTCTTAGGTCACACATGCAGTAACACCCCTCGTTTGAGCCTCATTCCGACCCTCACTCTACGAGTAGAAGGGGAGTGGATTGAGCGGTGCCAAACATCAAAACAGCCAGAGGTGGATTTAAAACGGGCTATGGTGGGATACTATGTAGTCTAGAGCCCCCGATCAAAAGACAAAACCCAACAGCCCAATTTCTGCGTGACATTACTTGACATAGCGGCCATGTAACGGTTGGTCCAACCCGGACTTTTGCGTGACCATTTGTGACTACAAGTACCGTGTGATACAAGCTGTCACACCGCCCACACTTCATTATTACTGAAAATCTTCCTCCCCACTCCAAACATCCATTCCGAAAATCCACCGCTCCGCTGATACTCAACACTGTCACCACCACAACCACAAAGACTCATAGGAAATGCCAGACCCCGCATCTTCGTGAGTCGTCAACCCCGGCTACTAGGCCTCCACCATAGTTTTCCCCGCTAACAACGAGTAGAAGACCAAACTGGGCCGACGACGAGGAATTCGACGACCCCTCCGTTCTCCCCCCCCAACAAGTTATCAACAACCCTGACGGCACAAAAACAGTCATCACCTACCGATTCAACGACAACGGCAAGAAAGTCAAAACTACCCGTAAAATTCGCACTACTATCGTCAAAGAGCACGTCAATCCCCGTGTTGCCGAGAGGAAGGAATGGGCAAAATTTGGAGCCGAGAAGGGACACAGCCGTGGACCGGATCTTTCCACCACCTCCGTTGGAGAAAACATCACCTTCCGCCCATCGACCAACTGGAAAACTACCTCCAAGGAGGACAATGCCGAGGAGAGCAAGTTGAAAGATCAACTTAAGGATAAGAAGGTTACTTGTCGTATCTGTAGAGGAGATCACTTCACAGCCAGATGTCCGTTCAAGGATACTTTGCCACCTCTCGACGATGCGGCCGCTCCTGGTGCTGAAGAAAGCCCTGCCGCAGATGGCGCCGGTGCTACTGGTGCTATTGGCGGTAGTGGTGGCGGGTCTTACGTTGCGCCTCACCTGCGCGGAAAGAAGGGTGCTGGAGAGTCTATGCCCGGATCCGGTAGCTACAAGGACAGAGACGATCTCGCCACTCTCAGAGTTACCAACGTCTCCGAACTCGCCGAGGAGGGGGATTTGAGGGACATGTTCGAGAGGTTCGGAAGGGTTACAAGGGTTTTCTTGGCCAAGGATAGGGACACTGGTAGGGCGAAGGGATTTGCCTTCATTAGCTATGTCGATCGATCTGATGCTGCGAGAGCCTGTGAAAGGATGGACGGATGTAAGCCATTGCCTCCCCCCTAGCAGTCGCGTCTTAATACTAATCGTTTGATAGTTGGTTTCAAGCATTTGATCCTGAGGGTAGAGTTTGCAAAGAGGTCTTAAGTTGGAAAACAAGAGCGGGGGTTTCTTTTATATCCTTGTTCTTTCTCTCCCGTGGGAAATCCTGTTATTTCAATAAAAAGTTTTCTGTAAATTTTTCTAATAGCTATTCTAATTTCCGATCCTAGCAGCGTTGAATTCCCGTCATGGACTTGATGCTGTGCTATTGGTGTGATTTGGGCACATGGTCAGACAATTGACAGACTTCTGGCCCTACTTTTGCTGACCAACCTAAGTTACTAACCCCGGCATACAGTACTCATACCTGTATAATATCACTCGATGAAAAAGGCAACGATCAGTTACTACCCGAACTTTTACAATACTCGAGTGCTCTAAAAAAGCTAGACACCAGCACTTCACAGGTGATATCACAGCCACTCCCATATCCGAAATCCGTGGCGTTTGAATTCCAAAAACACGGCACTGTACGGGTAAGGCTGTAGCTAAATTACAACACAGAACTTGTGCCGGACCTGCACTCAAGCAGCGCAATCCAAGGCCAGGCGAGGCACCAAGATGGAATACCCGAACAGTCTAAGACAAATCGGCCAGCACCTCCACCAACAATAGTCCTTCGACCCTCACACTCGCACACACTTACTCAGTCACTCACCGAACCCATCCATCCCCCACCGATGACTTAAGAGTTATCGGCAGAGCGTTCCGCAGCAAAGGATAGCTTAACCCGCTCCTCCAGTGCAAAATCTAAATATATGAAAAAACACCACCGTAATGGGTGGTGCATTATACGCGGCATCTCGCATCAAAAACATGTACGCCTTGAACTCGAAGTTAATTAAGCCTCAATCGTGAGGTATCTCTCGAGCCGGGGCAATCCCCGCCTTTCGAATTGATTAAGATGCGAGGCTATCGGGTCCCGTGCAGGCGGGTGATGGCCTAGGGTGGTAAACTGCGATTGAATTATGCAAGTCATGGGATGGGTGGGGTTCTAGGTTTTGACAGTACGAGTACATGTCCCCCAGGGGTTGTGATACTACCCTATTGTGGGGCGGGCCGGTGTCCAAAGGACCCTTATTTTCCTTTTCCACCGGGCTCACTATAACTCACTCGTAGACAAGGTACGGAACCCCTTCACATGCTGTGGAAGGGTATATTAAGCTACTTAGGCCTTCATAGAGTGCGGTACCACTGAAGAGCGGAAGACTGCAGTACTCGAGTAGCACGGCCACTCCTTACGGGTCAAGAGAGTGTGATAGCAGTATCAAGGGATTATTCGTTCCCACATAACATCGTGAAAACCCGTACGAGACAGCATTAAGATAAGGACTCCAGTTCCAGTCAGGTAGAAATCCGTTCGACTAGTGCCATTGAGACCCCGTTTTGCACTCAAACAGGGTTCTTCCAACCCCCCCACCCCCAAGAAACAACCCCCGCCAATTCCCTATGCTCACAAATCCCAGATATCGTAACTTATTCACCAGTGACAGCATAACTAGCAATGCTCGATATCCCCCCTCAAAGCCTCATATCATACCCCAGATACCAGCACACTGCCGAGAAGCAGTACCGGTACTACCCGACTCGTCCGTCCGAACCTCCCAGTCTTAACTTAGGTCACCTGTAGCCTACCGCAACTGCTCCAACCCGTACTTACATTTCCAGCCCATATTACCGTACACGAGCACGGTGCACTCCTCAAACCAACACGACCCTGAAACAAGCCACAGCAAATGGTGGGATCAGAGAAATCGCCAACAACCAAACCTAGTCCCCCCAGTGTCCACCCGTCGCCTCTCCTCCTCAGACCCGCAAACCTGACGCAAACTCCCGCGTGCCACAACCTCACTCAGGCCGGGCGGTGATCCAAAGAAACGAAAAAATGAATGCCTGCTCTCTTCGCTTCCCCCCACTACAAAATCAAGTTCTTCCAAGATAAGCCTTGTCGTTGCAACTCTCGAGGTTAGGCTACGCTCGACGACTCATGGTTGGCACAAAGTCACCAAAACACGCTATTCCCTTTCGGGAAGAGGTGAATGATTGTAGGTGCGCCAAGATGAGAAGTTTCATGAATGATATTTTTCCGAAGTTACGCCGTAATGATGTCACTCGTCATCACTTTCCATCTCTTCCCATCAGCGAACCATAGGACCCTCCCGCTTACCGACGGTTTTTGACCAAGATCTGTATTCCAGGGATGAAGGGGCGGGATCCCATGACGTTTGATAGTCTGGGAGGAGAGGAGCCTTGGATAGATGAGCTCCGACGGTAGAGTAGCTGTTTTTGCCCGGAGAACAATTTTTATATAAAGAGCTATGAGGACCCGCGTTGGGATCCCTTTTCAACATCAATAATCCTCTCAAGTTAAATTCATCGAGCACTACCAATCCAACAATCTTACTGCTTAAAGAAAAGAAAAGCTTTTTCCCCCAAACAAACGTCAATCAACATGTCTGACACTTACCGCAAAGACTTCTCTACCCAGGCCAAGGAGGAAGCCGTTCGTTTTTCCCCACCTTCTTCTTCTGCTGCTCCCCACCGTTAGCGCGCCTAGCTGATTATAATATCCACAGATGCCCGACTCCTCCAAGTCCACCATGGACCGTGTCAAAGAGAGCATCACCAACACCACTGATAGGGCCGCCGCCGGCCTCCAGAGCGACCACCACAAGGGGAATGCACAGGAGGCTTTCGACAAGACGCGCCGCGAGAAGGACCACCAGGAGGACCATAGCGAAAGCCTTTTGGACAAGGTTTGTCTCATACCGCTAGATGTGACGAATAGGGGGCTAATGGATCTGCCATTAGACCAAGCACGCCCTCGGCGTTGACAAGCACTAAAAACGTGCGAGCAGCAATCTATCTGTAACGAATGAGCCTTTGGGTTCCAGGAGTTCTTGGGGATATGTATGATGGATTTGAAATGTGCGATTGTGTTGGGTTGGCGGGATCTTACCTTTGCTAGGTTTTAATATGATATCTGTTTCGAAGAATTGGTTTCCCGTGCGAACCTGTCGAGTCGAGTGAAATGAAATGAAACCCCCCCCCCCCAAGTGGTGATCCCTTGGCTCGTTCCCACATTGCACACCACTTTTACTCCAAAGGGCGGAGGTTTTAGTACGTATACACGAAGACAAGTACTCGATGGCAAATCCTTGTATCATAGGAAAGGCCATAAATCTTCATCATAAGCTGTCCAATAGTTCTCCAAAGAGGATCCATCACAATATAGGTATCGTGAATAGCGGGGATGTTCGGCCACCCAGTTCCCACAACTCACAGGCAAGCAACGCCGTTAATTTTCAGGTTCCTGAAATCCTGTTGCACGAAGGGGTTGGGCTGGATCGATCCAAAGGAGGGTGAGCAAATCGCGAAAAGATGAGAAATGTTTGGTAGACAGGAAATATGGCGAGGTCCAGGGTGCTGTAGGGGGGGGATAACCCAATCACGGGCCCGCAGCAGTTGCCGAACCTCCCTCCTGTCCCAGTATTGAGTATGATACGCGTAAACAGAGTTTCCTCCATCACAACATCAGATCACCGCCCTGATACCAACGGCCGGCAACTGAGTATCATTCCCTATATATCATACCTCACCCATCCGGGGAGAGCCCCATATACTGTACCCGTATCACACCAAATCCCGAGGCCAAGCCTTAAAAACACAAAATAATAAGGAACCCCCTATTGCTGTACCTTTTTAAGCATGATATACCCTTCAAAACAACAATGGCAAGGTCTAATCCCATACTTCATACTCCATCACTCGAGATTTCTCTCCCTCCCTCTCCCCCTCCTCAAAAAAAACAACAACCAATCAATCACGTACTGTACCCCAACATCATCTTTATGCCCTAACATGTAGGCCATTCCCGTAACGGTCGTAGATTTCTGCACTTGTACTGTATAGGTGGTCTAGATATCGCACGCGGGGGGGGGGGTGGTCATCACATCATATCATACTTGCCATACCAGTATTTCGTCGAATTCAGATCTTTTTTTTTTTTTTTCAGGTAAGTTATGGGATTACCATGCTCGTCCTGTATCATCGCGATGAAGGCTTATTACTCTGTGTGTGGTGTGTTGCAGTCAAGATCTTGTCTACAGGAATTTCAGGAGATCCGGAAGCTTCCTTCCTTCCTTCCTTCCTTCCTTCCTTTCCAGAAATTAGTAATAAATCTCTAGGATTTGGAAAAAAGAAAAAAAAATGGACAACTTATTTCCACGCATATCTCGAGATCGGTAGTGACAGGGCTAGAGACGAAAACTGCAAGGGATGACTGATGATGATGGGCACTAAGCTATGCACCCTACGAAGCGCTCGTACATTGCAAAGCTCAAGAGTGGCGAACTGGCCAGACGCGATATAACTTAGCTAGAAAAGTTGGCATACATTCAATAGCGATCGTACAGTGTCGTACAGTACAGCACCCGTACTCGTTACAATTAACAAGCAAAAGACGGAAGCGGCTCCTTCCCATGTTTCATCCGAACAAGTAAAGCAAGCACGACAGCGCCGGCTCAAGTGCGTACCGTACAATAGTGCAGAGTAAGGAATGCGAGTTTGCGGCGGGGGGGGGGGGGGGTGGGGGTACTTGCACAAGTAGGTACGTATCATACTCTATACAAAGCCACATCTCACACTCACGGTACTGTAGGCCAGCCGATAGGATTATTACTCACGGTAGGTATCATAGATAGGTAAGTAGGCGGGTCGGTGAGGTGACAGGAACGGTGGAAAAGACACGACTACCGAGTGAGAACTCATGATTAGCCAGCAGGATAAGTACGGTACTAGAGCAGCAATTATCATACCGCGCACACCCTTTTCTAGTAAACCTAATTTATAGAAATGCTTGCTTTCTTAAGTGTCTCGTTTTTTTTCTCGTTCCTTTGGGAGTGCGGGTATCGTATGTGCACGATCGGGATATATATGTCACTCACTGCATGGTTTACCATCGGGTACGTACTTACTCACCATTACCAACATCGCAGAATCTCATTACTGTGCACTGTTTTACACTGGTGATCCCTTGGATTTGCGCAGACGAGGCTCACGGTGGTACTGTACCTGTACCTGTGCTCTACTGTGCTGTGCTGTACTGTACTGTACTGTACTCGTAGAGGGTATGTGGTGTAAGATAATTAGCCACACAATAGAGTATCATAGCTACAGTGAGAAGAATACCTCCCTGCGCCCCCCAGCACCAAACAGACAAAAGCCGTGATGATACCATCATACGCCGCATTCTCCTTTAGTACCTCACGCGAACCTATTCCAAAAGAGTATACTCCTCAAGCCAGTGGCCACAGGTTACTGGGGAGGAACCGCCAACACACACGATACCGATATTGCAAAAATTTGAGGGCCAAAAAATAAAAATAAAAATAAAAACCGCCAAGACCAACGTATAATAATTCACCACACTCACAATGCTGATAAGCCATATCCGACAATTCCCCCATACAGCTCGGACGCCAGAATTACAAAAGGACCGGAAAGGGGAATTGTTTCATATATACGGTGCCGTACTCGAGTGCCGATGCGGTAGGAGAAATATTCGGTTTTGGTCTGGATTGCTTCAATGGATCGGTCAGTGGTTGTTGGGAGGGTCGTTGGCAGGGCTGTTTTTGTTTTTTTTGTTCTCGGTGGAAGAGGGGAGAAAGCGAGAGAAAAAAAAGCCTTAGGCTACCCATCTTTCCTGGCACCTGGGGTGGCCAATGGCGGGTATCATATCATGCTTTTAGGATTGGCTTGTTGACTGATTCGACAAGAGGTGCTCATCCCGGGCGATATCGGGTAGTGGACCTTGCTTAAGATCCCCCGCCATGTGCGAAAAACGCAAAAAGGCACTGGGCTTCCTTTTTCACTCCATTGGTTCGCAATGTTTGTATGCCGGGTGTGTACTCGAGCACCGTATACAATTGTGCTCGTACCTGAACGACAACAACGGAAATCAATCAACCAGTCTCCCCTTCACACCTCATCCACAAAATGCATGCCCCATGGCTACTCTGCTGATGAAACCCGATATGCAATTCATTACTTGTTCTATGGCACTGGTATATACACAACAAGGTGATAGATACACCTCCCCCAGAGGCGAACAAATGTGATATAAAGTGAACGGAGCAGGAGTTAGAGAGCAAGCCTTGGCCGGCTTTTGCGTTCAAAAGAACGGAAGGCTTTTCGAACGGAGCACATTTGCAAGTGCATGGACCGTGAAATCAAGATATGACGAGACGTTGGATACGGCTGATCCGGCGGCCTCCACCTCATTGAGCCGCCGGTCCAGGAACTCCCATGTAGCCTCAAAGTCATTGGAATTGTCCTGTGTCATGAACAATTCTATCATGTTGTAAGAATGAGGAAACGAAGAAAAAAGGTTAGGTTGAAGATCCGTATCGAATGAAAGGAGGAGGAAAATAGGGGAAAGGTTGTGTTGGACGTCGAGCGATCGGGGAGGAAATTTTCCTTACCAGTGCTCGCATAAACCGCAGAGAGCGTGGCACGCTTGGTGTACCAAGTTGTGTCGTGGCATCCATCTCCAGCGAGAAACCATATCTCATCCGAGAGCCTAGCCAATTCCGACACGGATGCGGGTATATTCTCAGCTAGTGACATGACAGCAAGTGCCTTCATCAACAAATCCATTGAAACCACATCAGTCAATTTCAACAAAATCTGCAATTGGAAAGCAAATCAAAAAATAATAGAAATGGAGAAAAGGGGGGGGCCGCACCTCTTGCCATCTGTGGATGATAGGAGCATTCGCCCTAAGGCGTTCCATACACAGGACTCTGATTTTAGCGGGGATGCTCAGATTCCTCAACCCCTCCGGCAGCTCGGGCTCGGGTTTCCGAAAGTCAACCTTGTCACCTAATCGGAGACGCTCAGTGGAAAGATGATAGCGTACGAGGTCGAACACTCCTCGGGAAAACATATTAACCGAGATGTCGAGATAGCCGGCATCACGGGCACCGAAGGAAAGTGCTGCATCGGTGAATCCATGTGACGGAACGTGGAGGAGAGAGGCGGATAGGATGGCTGATTCGGGCCTCGAGAAGGGTGGACCCGGGGCTGGGTGTTGGTAGGAATGGTACCGGCGACGCAGCCTGATACGAGGTACTATTGAGGAGGAGCAGCAGGAGGTGGCGGGGGAGGAGGCGATGGGTTTCGAGAGTAGCCAGCGGATGGAGGGGCCGGAGAGATTTGCTCGTATGGTGTTGCTCATGGTGATGCGGTAGCTTCTTATGTGTTGAGTGGGATGGTGGGTGGAGATGGTGGGCTCGGGATTGCTTGGGTATCATATCATCCCGTAGTGGACGAGGGGGAGGCAAGTTGCCGGGGCGGCCGCTGCGGGGCAATCCCAGATTCTCTCAATCGCACAATTGTTGGTGATAGGGTTAACCTACTCGCACAGTACCATACCGGTAAGATACCGGTAGGATATGTTCATTTTTCTCCATTACACCTGCATTCTTATCATTATCACTTTGTTTTTCTCCTCGATTCCTCTTTTCTTCTTCTTCTTCCTCCTCCTTTCCCTTTGCTTTTCCTTTTCCTTTTGCCTTTGCGAGTGCTGGGGTGCGGCGTGCTTTCCCTTTTTCCTCCCTTTCCCCTCAAAAGCCCTCATTGTTCCTTCCCCTCCCTTTTGTTGAGCCTCATCACGAGCATCTTGAACGTTTTGGGTCTCAGCCAGCCACCATCACTCGGCGACATGTCATATCGCATCCTGATTAAAGGCAGGAGGGTTTTGCTCTCGAATATCCCAGCACCTAACCTCTCTCAAATTCTTAATTGAAATTACTACCGGTTCGAACGAACCCTGCTGCTTTTGGGGAACAAGAGGGAAAAGGAAAGAAAGAAGAAGAAAAAAGCCAGACGCACATAAATACAGTACGAGTACGTGCGCAGTGCGTGGAAACATGTCCACTGTACCGTAGTATGATGCTTGCACACTTTGCCGAAAGGAAGTAGCGCCTGTAGACACCGGGTCCCTTTCGCTTCTTTCTGCAGGTTGCAGAGCGGGAGTCATCCTTAACGGCCGGCAGATGAGGGCGGAATAGAACAGAAAACTCGTGACTCTCCCCCAATGCACTGAATTCAAAATGTAATGAAAGTTATGGCTTGTACCCTGATCATATCATCATTGCTCCGGGAAGTAGGACGCCGGTGGCCTTGGTTATGATATACTGTACTTCGCCTTTACTTGGAAGAGCCGGTATCACATTTTTTATTTTTTTTAGACTGGAGGTATGGAAATTCAATCCGCAACCCTTTTGAGGAGGGGGAGGGGGTGGTTAAATGTTTTTTTTTGTTTCCCCTCGAGTTATCCCTAATTGAAACGAACCGGTCGAACCGGAGTCCAATTCACTCGCTCGAGCGAGACAGGTCGAACGGGAAGAGCCTTTACATGCGTCATTGCGAATTCGTTTGTCGATCTTCAGTCCTTCCCCTCTCCATAAAATGCGGACGAGCTGCAGATGAGACTCGGTATGGGCTGTTATGCATTCCTCAGTCCATCTCCCCGTTCTCCTGTGGTTGTACGAAACCGTTGCGCACCGATTCTCTCGCGCCTAGCCTACTTGTTAGCGTATTCCCTATCGCTTGGCGAGTGCGCGAGAGCCCACGGAAAGGAGAGAGTGTGTGTGAGTGGGTGAGGGAGAGTGAGGGAGAGAAAGAGGAGGGGAAGAGAAAGAAGCCCCCCGTGCCTGTCTGGCTACCTCTATTCTCTATCTCGAATTATCCATCGATCAATCCCACTGTGATTATTATTTACCCCGGCAAAGCATATGGCAGGCACACACCCACCCACCCACATATACCCCACACGCACGCACGCCGGTGGTGGTGGTAGTGGAGGAGGAGGAGGAGGAGGAGGAGGGCCAACCCCTAGGGCCTTGTACGAGTACACACATATATATGTGTACCGGTATATCGAATTGTGACTTGTTATTGCCACCCAGGTTCATAGTTTTCCACACAAACAACGTCGTTCTCGTCCAATGCTTCACCGCAGCTTCATCGAGATTGATGGAAAAAGAGGCAGAGTTCGATTGTTGGTATCCAGGATATGATAATTCAACCCATCATACTCGGCCCTTTTTCCGGGTGCGGGCCCATGCAATTGTAATCCACATCGAGCGATTTTCTTCAGGACGGCCTCACTTTATCCCCGGATGATTGGTTCGTAAGAATGTGATTTTAGTTACCTTGTTGCCGCCGCAGCCTTGGAATATGTTGAGCGAATGTGGTAAACGAAGGTGGAGGCTTTCTGACCTTCACCCACCCGCATACCGGTATTCCCCAAAGACGGCCATTAGCAACAAAGTCCTAGTTATGGATTAAGTAAATCCAACCGTTCAGCATTCATGAGGGAGATGTGAACTTTTTTTTTTTCTCCTTTCTCTTTCGTCCCCCTCCCCTCCCCACCCAAAGAATCTGATGAAATGATTAAACCTTGCTAATCCCTGGTAGGGGCCTTTTATTTTTGTTTTTTCATCCTTCTTTCGCCTCTAATGTTTTCAACCTCTTCGTCTAGCCAGTGAGTCCGTCCGTCCGGTCACAGACAAACTGATGCCCAACACCCCCACCAACTCAGCAATGAATAACCTTTTTGCTGGGAAGGGCAGGAAAAGGAAATAGAGTGCTCGTTTCCGGTAGTGTACCGTATGTGGTCCATTAGGGTGCACAGATAGTGCTGAACAGTGTGGTGAGTACCGGCAGTGTGGAAGGGGGTACGATGAAAATGGAGATATACACAGGTACCAGTGGGTACGATGAATAAGTATCGGCGGTACAATGGAGGCTAGGCATCATTAATATGAATACATTGGAGGAGTAGGACAGGACTCAGCCAAAGGGAATCAGTAACGATTTAAAAATGACCCCCACGTTTGGTTTTAGTCTTAGCATCTCTGCCGGAAGCTTCATCATTAGCGTTAATAGTATTAATACCATCATTGGCGTCATCTACATCATAATCACCACTATTCATCATCACATCACCACCATCACCGCAACCCTCACCAACACCATCATCACCAACATCATCACCGTCATCATCATCACCGTGATCAAAACTGAAGTTGGGTAGGGAAGAGATGGGAGAATGGAACGAGGGGGGGGGCAAGGTAAAGAATGAAGGGTCCTGGAAGAATGCTTTCAATATTTGTTGCCGGACCCGTTTCTCACGGAACTTTACAACTGTATCATAGGAAATAGGGGGAAAATGTATGGAATATGAAAAATGAAGGGGGGAGATCTCCATTCACCTCTCGACTTGTCGACCGGCAAAGGGGGTTTTCAACCTTATTTGCTAGGCATGGTATAGCGATATCTATTATTATTTTTGAATTTCTTGTATATTCCTATATCGCTTGTATGGTATTCCTTGTATTTTTTTTGTCTATTTTGTATAATGTGATTCTGTATTTTTTTTTTCCTTCCCTATTTTCTTTCCTGCCCACGTTGCACCCAAAGGCCGCGCGATAACACAAGGATTTTTCCAGATCTTTACCCTCCTTTTTCTTCCATCCTGCGAGAGCTTTCCACAGAAAGAACCCGGAGGAGAGGTTCGGACACCAACCGCCCAGCAACCCCTTCCAGAGTGTCCATAATCATCCAGCCCCCTGGTTTGTTTCTATCACACCTTTTTCCCCCAATCGCTCCAAACTTTTCCCTCTCGACAGCCAGAAAAACCCACTGCACGCCCGATCACCCCCCCCCTATAAGGTCTCTCCGCACGAGAAACGTTACTTTCTGCTTCTCTCCCACCTAGTCTTGTTATATAAAAAGGAGAGGCACCTATGGGTCTGCTTCCCAACACCTCTGATTTTATCCCCGCCAATCAAGCTCTTTCACGCTTCTTTGTTTTCCTTTAAAGCTAACTCGAACTCATTTCTCCTGCGCAGAGAGTGATTCCTACCGCCCGGCAGCCTTAGAGGGAGGGCGATCTATTGAACGCGAATACAGGCACGTAAGTACATTCCGAAATTTGGGAGGGAAAAAAAAAACATTTCAGCCCGGGTTCCGTTGCTCTTGATTTTAAATACTCTCGTTTTATTTTCCGTTTTTTTACCCTTTTCGAGTTTCCAACTCCTCTCACACCCCACCCCCCTCGTTCACTTTATTCAGCAAGCGTTTTGCCTTGAGCACCCGTGCTTGCCTGTCTCTCCCCTCTCGTCTGTATGTTCCTCTGCGTGCAGACCTTGCTTGCATTGGCAATTCGTTAGCTTTCTGCAAGAACTGCAATGCTCGCACCCCCCCCCCCCCCACCTCTCCACTTTCACCACCGGTGGTGCTCTTCTTTCCCTCTCAGCCGGCAGCTTGCCTGTGGCCGTCGGGCTTCAATGCTTCACTCCACCCCCCCCCCCCCCCCCCCCCTTCTTTCTCCTCCAATCCTTTCTGGATGCGCCCCCGGACAGGAAAAGAAAAGAAAACTCTCCCATGCCCATTTTGCCCTATCCCTGTGATTCCCTTCTCCCCCACTCCACCCGGCTTGCAGTTACGTCCGCTGTGGGAAGGTCGCATCCGCTCGCAACCTTCTCGCTGGCGCCGTCTTCCCGCACCACACGCCATCCCCCCCCCCTACATCTCTGCCTTTTTTTCTTGTCTGGACTTTCTTCCATTTAGGTACAGTGCTGATGGACCACCCCACATCGGTTCTACAGCGCGATAGATCTCGTTCACCACGTCGTCGTTCTCCAGACCATCGTGATCGTGCAAGGTCACCACGCAGTCCTCGCCATCGTCGTAGATCATACTCACCTCGAAGCAGATCTCGAAGCCGGGACGATTACAGAAGGCGGTCCTCTCGCTCGCCTATGAGTGGAAGCGGTGGCCATCAAGGGGGATACTCAGGATCTGGATACCAAGGTAGTAGCGGAGGGGCCGGTGGACCTCGTCGAAGTTACGAAGAACGTGCAGCCGCAAAGGACGCTATGATGCAGAGCCTTCGTGATAGTTCCCAGCAGGACCGCCGCGTTTACGTCGGAAACCTTTCTTATGATGTCAAATGGCATCACCTTAAAGATTTTATGCGACAAGGTTGGTATTCTACTCTTCCCTGAGACAATCAATTACCACCATTTCCGTCATCATCTCCATCACCATCGTCATCTTCATTATCCGCTATCCATGGCTATCATCTATCTCGTCCCTTGGGTGATAGTTCCGGTGGATCTGAGTGGCGGTGGTGTATCATCTCATTTCGTTTCCCCGCTCATCGGCATCTTATTTCATTGTCTTGATTGGTTCGGATGCTGACATTTTCCCTCGCCGCCCCGCTCCAGCCGGAGAGGTCCTCTTCGCCGATGTCTTGTTGCTTCCGAATGGAATGTCGAAGGTGGGCACAACTGTGAAAGATACTGGGTGTTTTTTTGGTTTATTTCTTTTGTGGGCTTCTTGTGGGATGTGGTGATTGACGGGGATGGACACGGTCGTCCGCGGGTTACTTGTAGGGATGCGGGTATGCAACATTGTCCTCCTGATTGTCGTGCGTCAACGGCTATGCTAATCAGCAACTACAGGATTGTGGAATATGCCACTAGGGATCAAGCTCAGACTGCTGTTAACACCCTCAGCAATCAGAATCTAATGGGCAGACTCGTCTATGTCCGAGAGGTAAACCTATAGATATCGGAACTCTCCCTTTTGCAAGAGATGTTAATTCCTCTTGAACGGTGTAGGATCGTGAGGCAGAGCCTCGTTTTACTGGCCAGCAAGGCACTCGTCCTCCCTACCCCGGCGGTCCGCCGGGTGGCGGTTACCCCGGGGGTGGATACTCTGGCGGCGGCGGCGGGGGTGGTGGTGTTCCTGGGGCCGGTGGGCGGCAGATATATGTGTCCAATGTGAGCCCCTGTCGCTTCCTGGGTGTGCACCTGAGCTGGCATTCTGATTCTCGCGATAGCTTCCCTATACTGTTGGTTGGCAGGACTTGAAGGACTTGTTCCGTCAAGCTGGTAAGCCCCTCTTTTAAGACTCATTCTCCCTCAGTAATTTGGTGTTGAATCAATTCATCCTCCTGTGAACTCACATGATGATAACTAATACAACTCACACAGGTTCCGTTGTGCGTGCCGATGTTCACATTGGTCCTGACGGGCGCCCCAAAGGTAGTGGTGTAGTCGCGTTTGAGTCCCCTGAAGATGCCCGTAATGCTATTGCGCAGTTCAACAACTATGATTGGCAAGGCCGTCAATTGGAGGTTAGAGAGGACCGCTTCGCGGGGTCTAGTGGATTTGGCGGTCGCGGTGGGGGTTTCGGTGGTGGCCGCGGGGGGGGTGGCTTTGGCGGTGGATTTGGTGGCCGCGGCGGAGGCTTCCCTGGACGTGGCGGAGGCTTTGGAGGCGGGTACGGCGGAGGGCGCGGCGGAGGTCCTCCTGGTGCCGGCGGTAGCAGCTTCAGTGGGGGTTATGGTGGAAGTGATTATGCCTCCGTGCCGCCTAACGAGTTCACGGATCACGCCACTAGTGGAGGAGAACGCAGCGCGACAATTTACGTCCGCAATGTAGGGCCCACACTTTTGGCTATTTTCTGTTCCTTCGAGGGTAGATTTGCTGACTGTCCCAGCTTCCATGGTCTACCAGCAACGATGACCTGGTCGAGTTGTTTAATACAATTGGAAAGGTCGAACGTGCCGAGATTCAGTATGAGCCTAATGGAAGATCCAGGGGTACTGGTGTAGTCTTGTTTGATACTGCCGAGAATGCAGAAACAGCAATTTGTATGGATGTTAATCACGTTTTCGTGCTTCCTGATGGATGAGCTTGGCTGACTTTTTAATCTTAGCCAAATTCACCGGTTATCTCTACGGGGGTCGCCCTCTGGGACTCTCGTATGTCAAGTATAGCAACTTTGGTAGCAACGGCGCCGACGCAATGGAGGGTACCGAGCCTACCTTGACTCAAGACCAAATGATGTGAAAATCTGGGGGGGATAATATTGAGGACTGACTCGACAACTCACTTTTTAAGGGATGGATTGTATTAACGTTCTTTTTTCTCGTCTTTCAATGTTCCTATGCGTCTATTGGGTTGTTTAGGGTTTGCCGTTCCTCGCGAGATCGCAAAAAAAAAAAAAGTTTGGTCTTGTGTGTTTTCTCGCTCTCACTTTTCCCCCTCTATGGGATTTTCATTACCCTTGTTCGTCCCTCTGTTCTCCATTGTCTTTTTTTAGTCTTAACTTCATCTATTCAAATTCTCCCTTTTGTGTTTTTAGCTATTTTCATTTATCTCCCCTTTCTTTATTAGTCAGCCTTCGTTGTCGTTCTTGTTTTTTTTCCTTATGCAAAAAAAAAAAAAGTTGAAGGTTTGTGGTGAATGGATTGTACCAGCTCGAGCGATCACAAAGCATCAAGGTTGAAGTTGAATATTTATTATTATTATTATCATCGTGTTGATTTGATGGCTGGTTGGTAGTTTTAGCTCGAAGTTGAGATGGTAGGTTTTTGGTAGTTTGGTGACATACTGAACAAGGAGGGAGTATGGAGAGCGATAACGGACATCGGGGGGAGAGAAGTTGTGTGTATCAGTAATTATTCGATTGGAGGTGAAGGTAATTGTTATAATATGATAGTTTTTTTTCTCTTTCATTCACTTTTTCTTTAATTCCCCTTACTTTTAATGGTTGGTGTGGTGGTGGTAGTACGAACTATGGGTTATTAACATGATTGATTGGGATGCTCTGGTTGGAGTGTTTGGTAGCCAAATAGAAAGGAGAGCGGTAGGTATGTAAATCCCTGTAGCAGGAGTAAGAAACAAAGAGGAGGTGAAAAGATGGAAGCGGGCTGGATATGGAGAGATTGTGGTATCCACTACCAGCTGATAGGATCCCATATAAGATGTCTCGTCTGGTTGCCTCCAAGACTCCCTAAGGTGCTGGTACTGTACCGTATAGACCACGCTTTACTTTTATATCTCCGTGGAAGAATGAGTGGAAAGAATGAAGGGAGAAATGGAGGAAGGGGAGAAACAAGGAAGGATCGACCAAAATTGCACTGATACTGTAGCAATCTTGAACAATGTATGAAGTCTCCTAAGTGAGCAGGAGCCGGAGAAGGCAGAATGATAGGTGTACGAGTGAGGAACGGTGAATGAGTTATTTATACCATATTACCTTATCCCAGTCCAGAATTCTCTAGCAGTCGTAACATTATGATACCAATCATTAGGCGATATTTGCCACCGTATATAGCGGTTGGTGAGCAGGTACCACTCAAAAGCTGTGGAAAGGAGGAAGGGTAATTGAAGTGTGAAGTCAAGTCCTCTGGATAGGGAGCTTTTGCTGCGACGGTCGTCGTGCGAACTGTCCTTTTCACCACAGCAATGGCACTAACCTTTCCAATTGTGCGATAGTGCTTGGTGGCTCAGCTTTGCACAGTCCTCAGAACAGTTCTTAAATAAGACGGTCGCTGAGGAGTTAGGTTCACTAGTTTGTTGGGATGAAAATCTTTTATTTCATATCTGAGTCAGAGTCTATCCTCCAAAAAGCTTCGAATGCCATCATTGCAGCCCATCGGATCCTCTCCAGAGCCTACTAGATTTTTGTCACAACCTACCGAATCATCTTCACAGTCTATTGGAGAACCTTTACAGTCTGCTGGAGTATCTTTACAGCCTGCCGGAGGGTCTCTGCAACCTGCTCAGGCATCCTTGGAGTTATCTGAACGTGAAATTGTCCCTGCAGTACAAGTTACCCCACGTAATCGATATAGTCAATCTCAGAAGCTTCTTCTTGCCCAACTGTGTGTACTTCATGGAGGAGAATTTTCAATTCGAGGGAGATGTGAGCGGTTTTGGTTAAAGATTCAATGATTGTTCTCCAATGTAGTATTCCATCCTGTAAGCAATCCTCAGAGCACGATGGGAAGAATGCTTGCTGATTATGAAGTTAAAGTTCATCAAGACTTAAAGGAAAGTGGAACTACTCAGACTGATGGAGAATATGAGTAAACTATAGCACAATGGAAGGCACGGGTAGAGAGTATAGGTTCATACTCTTATAAACGTTTCTATTAAAATATAAAAAAACTAACATTTGTAGAGTGGAGATGGACAAGGCAATATAGGTTCTCAAGGAGAAGTTGTAAAAGCAAGAAAGTTGAAAGACCAGGAAGTATAATGGGCAGGGTCTAAGGGTCGGGTAGCCCAAGGCACACCACAATCAGAGCAGGCAGGAGTTCGGAGGTGAGGTCTAGGAATGGGCGTACAACGTGACCGAGTTGTACAAGGTGCGGAGTTCAGGGGGTCAGGGTCAGGGTTCATAGGTTCAAGAGGACATGAAGTAGAAGAGAGGTGTAATTCCTAGGTACAGGTGCCCAAAGTATATCTAAGTTTATTTAAACTTATGTAACGGGAGCTCCCTCAGGTAGATGGCTCCCAAGGATGCGACCGCACCAAACTTCAAATCTCTCGAACACAGCTCTTGCAAAAAGTGTAAAGAATAAAAGTAAACGGTAAAACTTAATATCGTTAAGCTCAGGCTTATCTCAATTAAAGTCTCTCGAGAGGATGTTGATTCTGTCGGGGTAGGAGAGTTCTCGTATAATCTTTAAGTAGTCCGACTTATACCAAAAACTCCCCCATCAGGTTACCCCGACCAACGTGAGTATGCCCTTCTCCGTAAGGGTTGCCCCGGCACCATTACCGTGTCCCCGAAGGGCTATAGGTGTCAGCGCACTCTAGCAGAAATCTCCCATATGCACATCAGTTCCTGCGAGGTGTTTACCAATACACCTGCCGGAGTGAAAACCTCTGCACATCGGTGTCTCATCAGTGGCTAACTGTCGAGACCCTTGGGAAAGCTAACTAAATGACTCTCTTCCCATATGCAACGACCTATGCAAGCACCGTAGACGTCAGCTGTCCTCCGGCTAAATTCTATCTTTCTTGATTGCGAACTTAGGGGGTCTACGACGCTCCCTCGGAGAGCTGTGTCGGCGGCGGGACCCATAGGCGCTACCCATGGTCCCTTACCCCCGGCACACCACTCACCGTGATAAGTGTCAAGCTATTAGAGTCTTCAAACAACCCATAAAGAGCCTACGGCAAAGGGGCACGTGTAGGCTTGATTGGCGTAAAACCTTCCCAGATGTCTCCGGCACTACCCGGGACTACTCTGGGGACCCTTCCGGATAGCTCACGCTAACTCCATCAGTTTTGGTCCGTTTTACTCCGTTCCTTTTGGAGAAGGTACCTGACCTTCTCACCTTGGCCCCCTTATATATCCTGCGAACAGCTTGCGGACGGACGGACGGCGACGACGCATACAGTGTTATGGACATGTCTTCATAGATTCCATTTAACTAGCATAACGGCAACTCCACCCATTTTGGCCTATGACACCCGGGGCGAACCCTGGGGCCGCAGGTACCTGTTAGGAATAATTCTACCAAGTTACAGCTTGTCCGGGGCACTATAGCTCCTCCCGCAGTCTTCCGATCAAAGTGCAATCAAGTGCCCGTCGATCGTTATTGCGTAACAAACAATCCTAACATTTCCCGAAATTCCTCCGAGAACATTTCCGACGGAAGGTAGGGTAATAGTGTCCCAAAGGTAGGGTAAGTATGTCCATGGTGACACGAAACCAGTCTCCATGGTAGGGTAACGTGACCTCCTTAGGCAGGGTAAACTCACGCGGCCTTCTGACCTATCCATAGGCTTGAGCGGATATTGTCACGTTATGACTACTACTTAGCTACACATATTCCTTAAGTACCTTCTGTTCTTTGAGATTTCCGGACCATCAGATATCTCTCGGATATGCGCCTGCATACCCGCCTCATCTACCATCTGACCTCTTGGTCTTATGTATGGGCGTAGACGTAGGTTACCATAGCTCTATATCGTAGGGTCGTTACAACTTGTCACACCAAAACATGGCTTATGATTGAGCGCCATCCTGACAGCAGCTCAGCGCTGGTCAGGATCTACCGATGGGACTGGGGCCCTGCTACCCCTGCTAAAAACAGGCAACTAAATACAAGATACCGATCCTCCAACTCTGTACCATTAACCACTCTGGTGAGCAAGCATCAACACCAAAGCTAAAGTACAAGTCCATCAACAGCCCGGTACCCACCTGCTCCATCTAGCTAGACCGCGAAAACCCCAACCAAATCCAATAAAGTACTACCACCAGCAGCACTGCTTCAGCCTCGTAATCCTACACCCAAAGGTGCAATCATAAACAAAAGAAATCACCCTCTTAAAACCCACCAGCAACTCAATCAAGCGTTTACATCACAGGGCAAAGAGGCACCATAACAACCCCCTTATCAACTAGTTTCCTAGACCCCTTCCTGTAATAGCCATCCTAAGCCACCCCAGAAGTTGGTATTTATTGTTTACAGGTATTCCAACCTATCTAGAGCTGTCCATGTCCACCTCTTCATCATGGTCCTCCGAAGCCTCAGACTCTGAGGTATCTGGACAGGGGTGAGAGGGGCAGACTGGTGAATAGGATTCTTGCCGAGCATCACAGTTTACATACCTGGGTGTAGTATGGCTACAGGGACAGCCACGAAGATGGCAGGTAGTGGTAGGGCAGGAGTGATTCCCAGTAGAGTGAGGGAGGAGGCACCGGTGGCAGGAAGCCGACGAGATGCATTTGATGCTATAGTGACCAAACTTGTGGCAGTTGGCACACTGGGTGTATTTGTTGAAGCATAGATGGCGCTTGGTTCGGTAGGTGTTGAAGAAGGCTGAGAGGCGCTTGCCGATGAAAGAGGGAGCCTTAGGTCCAGTAATGGAAATAACAATAGTTGAGGTGAGTTTACCAATACGTGCTAAATCAGAGGTGAGCCACCTTGGCTGCTTGGTAAGAGACAAGCCAGAGTTGAATGTAGTAAGTTCCTGGGCGAGAAAAGCCAGAGAAGTAGAGGTAGCGATGCTATGTACTAGAAGCTGGGTGGTAGTGGGGTGGAGATGAACAGTAGAGGTACCAGAAATAAGGTGCAAAAAGATGCCAACTTTGCTGTTGACTGTTGTGGCTTGAACCATGTCCATAGTTGTGAGGGTACCATGCCCATTCCAAAAGGAGGCAGACGGAATGAGGGTGGAGGCCAGGGCCTGGTTGATGCTGTTGTGTAGCTGTACAGCAGTACTAGTGAGGGGGGCGGTATCTTGTTTAATGATGAGCCAATGCTTGCGCATAGTTAGGCTCTTTTTGGTTTAGTAAGGGGCTTAGCCAAGGTAGAGGAGGGTTTGACTGGCTTCAGGCCAGGCTTTGTGGATTTCGGAGAAGGCTTTCTTGTCCTCCTAGCAATGGTAGCCCACAAAGGGGGAACTGCGGGACCAGGAGGTTGGGTATGGGAAAGGGTAGGGGGTAGGGGAGGAACAGAAGATTGCTCTGTAGGGTTGGTAGCCAGAGGTGCCGGCAGGGCAGTAGTAGGAGCAGGCTGAGATAGAGTGGAGGCATGAAGGGCATCTAGCTCCTGAGTAAGAGTGATGATATGCTCGGTTAGCCTATCAGTCACCTTCCTGTAGTCCTCGTACAATATTTGCATCATCTGGATTAAGATCGGAAAGGCTTTTCCAAAGGTGTTCAGTACTGTGTACCCTTGTGCCTCAAAAAACTCATCGAACATACCTATGAAGGCCCCGTTAGGGGTATCATAGTCATCTTTTGAGTATTGTGGTAGACTTGTGGTGGTGCAACTGCATAGCAGTTTAAGCAAGGGGGGGCCCTGAGGTCGAAAGATAGGTGATAAGTGACTCTGCGAAGCACCTTCAGGCTGCATAGAGGGGAGTGGAACGAGAGGGGGTGATGACTCCATGATGGAAGTGATGAGGAGAAACTTTGACCCCGGTCAGGCCAAAGTAAAGGTATCCTGGTGGATAAGATAATTCCCTGGTATGTAAGAAAGAGTGTCTGAATTCAATCTAAGTTTATTTATTCTAGTTGCACCAAACTGGCATATGATCTAGCTAAGATCCCTCGTAACCCATAAATCATAACAAAATCTCTACCATGGCAGACCCTCCCGCAACCCTCTGCCCAAACATAAATCTATAAATCACTACCAACAGGCTCATGGGCACTCATACTGCAAGTGACATCCTGGATTGACATGTCTTTCTGTCTCGCAAGCCCTATCCATCACTCACACTACCATCAGCAATTTCACTCTCCACATACTCAACAAATGAAATGTACAGTCTGTCCCAGCAATGTCAAGTATTTCTCTAATGTCCCGCAATATCTACAAACGTGCCATCACAAGAAAAACATTGGGGTCCTTTAACTAACTCGTAGCTTCTGGCCCATGCCAAC